CAGGCACCTCCCCTGGTGCCAGTCACTTTGGACACACTGGGCAGCCAAGTTGCCTAGCTCTGGGTACTTTTCCCCTGCTCCATCTCTCAAGACTACAGGGTTCTCTCTCTGACTCTGCCAGAACTCTCTGGCTAAACTTATACCCTCTGGAGTTAGGTCACTCCTATGTTACCTCAGGAAGGATAAGGTCCCTGTGGAGCATCTAGGCCAAGTACCTTCCCTAAGGGATGGCAGCAGTGTGCATTCCCCTGAGCTCAGTGCCTCACAGCCCCTCAGCTCGCCTCTGTCTCAGACAAGGGAAGGTGTCTAGCCTTCCCTGTGGTTGGGCCTACAAGGGAGTTGCCCAAGTTTCAGGAAGGAGACTGTCAGTATATGTTCAAGACATCCTCCTGGTCCATAGTCCAGGTAGCTGAACGGAGGGCCCCTGTAGGAGACAGCCCTTCAGATTTTCCACTGGTAGGCAGGTGAAAGTGAAGCCTGGAGCAATTTGAGCCCCGGAACAATACTGATCAGTCAAGATAACCAGGAAGACTCCATTTTAGCTATGGTGCCAATCTCCCCCCTGGTGCCCGTGCCATGAGCATCCTGGACACAGCCAGGAGTTCTTCAGACACTGCCATGGGTGTCCCATCCCCAACCCTGACTCCAGATTTAACTTGGCACAAGGTGCCAACAAGCTGGATGACTCAGGGGTTACAATTAACCCTGTCACCACCAGGACAGTCAGCTCCCTTGCATCAACCACTGTCATTTCCTGTCCCTTACTCGAAGGGTTCCCCAACCTGTCTAGCCAGGGGAGTGACTTGCTTAATGGGAATACCAGAAACTCCCAGCCCCAAGGGTAGGGGAGGGCAGGGAGCATCCCATGTCCTGGCTGCCACCTCTGCCGACCCTTGATCTATTCTACCTGTAAGTACCTCCTGGTGATTTCCAGGGCAAATGACTCCCATGCTCTGTTGCTCTGACTGGTCTGGTCTGGGATGGAGATTTCAAGGTGAGGTTCATGGGAAATCTCCATATAGGTGTACAGGTGCCCAGTGTAGGATGAGTTATGTCCCTAACCTCCCCCATGCCAGGTGCTTGGGGGCCTCCTCAGCAATGACCTCACAGCTTCCTAAAGCTACTCCCTAATGGGATTGGAATGTGGTCAGACTAATGTGCCTTCTGTGGAAGGCAGGTGGGGTTGGGGGAAAAGAAAGGGGCCCAAACTACTATGCTCATGTCTTTGGGGAAAGCAGAATGGCGCTAAGGCATGAGTGTCAATCCAAGGCAGATCAGATCTGGGGGCATTCTGGCAGAAAAAGGAGCAAAGGTAGACAGGAGAGGGGGGACAAGATGAGTTTACGTTCTCACTGGTCAAGGGCTGTTTATTATCAGACCTCGTCCCCTAGCCTGAACCTGATCTCACCTTCTTTTGGCAAGCTAAATCTATCAGGGGCTAGCACACTATACCCTATGTGATTAACAAACTCTGACTCTTTTAGGGGATGGTAGAAATCAGTCAGGAAAATGCAACCCCCTTAATGTTTCCTATAAGTTTCTTAGGAGTCTGGTGGGAAAGATAAGGAAGTAGGACCCAGAGATCAGATTAAGGCTTTAACACTGAATAATTGAAAAAGAAGGTATGTATGTGGGCCCAGGGTAGCATCTTAGTTGGGAAGTAGATCTTCATATTTTCCAGAGAAAGCAAAAAACGGTGCTAGTGCCCTGGATCAGTGCCCCCAAACTTGCTTCATTACTACCATGAACATACATTTTAGGCAATATGGAAATCCTTAGGAAGAGGTCTCCTAAACCTACTGCCTAGCTTGTTCTTTCCATTTCTTGGCCAGATCTTGTCTCTCCTCTGTTCTCCATCTCCTAAGGTCTTAGCCTGGCTCGAAGCATTAGACCTGGCTGGGTAGATAATCTTCTGCCATCTATACCCACCACTCCTCCCCTCACAACTCCCCCAAGCCTACTAGCAGGGCAGGCACCAGGCACTAGCACCTACATATGTTTAGATGCATAGGGGGGCAGTCACTGACCTGTGTCCAGGGGGAAAAAGATTGATCAGGACTCTGGGGGCCTCTCTTTCCCCACCAGGGCATGGGATGGAGTGGAAGGTGGAGGAGTGAAGCCCGACTCCAGGCTGGGTAATCCGGAGCTCAGGTTACTGGCTCTGATATATATAGTATCTTATCTGACCTCACAGGGATGGCTACAGCAATTCACTCACATTCCAGGATCTAGAGAGACTTAAAGGGGCAGTGTGTGCCCACCCAATGGGGGGTGGGGTGGTACTGTCCCTAATGAGCAGGTGCCCGGCAGGGGGTGACTTTTAAAGAACTCAGGGAAGGGTACAGTAAGAAGTGGCACAAAAAGAGGCTCAGTGTGAAGAAGGGGGTAAGAGAAAAAGTGGCAGGGTGCATTAGTGGTAGGTTGGGGTGAAAGGAGGCATAAGACTGAAAATATCTGGAGGTTACAGGTTTCTAGGAAGAAGAGTCCTGCCTGTCAACTCTAAGTGGCATACTTGCTTCTAAAGTTAAAAAGCAACTCCAAAGTTTTCTTTTATGCTTCTACCTATAAATCCCTTGGTTCTCATAACCAGGGCAGGATTGGTCCCACTACCATAGCAGTGAACAAAGTACTCTGAACAAATTCCCAGGATGCCTTAATCAAGGAGACATCAAGTATCTGTCCAGGAGTTCAGTCCATTAGCTGTTTACTTCAGGCTTAAAAAAGTGGGGAAAGTACAAGGTCCCACAAGTGACTAGGCAAATGCTCAACTGAGTCCTACCCTTGCTGTAAAATGTGCCCATTTCACAGGGCTCTGCCTTCATATATAGAGGAAAATAATGGCATTTCTCACCTTTCTAGGCCTTTTTTTCCACCTTGCTCCCCAAGGGTTTCATGGTCCTTGTCGTAGCCCACCTTCATGTAGGTGTCTCAAGGCACCTGTCTCCACCCTGTCCCAGTTGATGCTACTGACTCAGCACTGGGTCCTGATGATGCACTCAGGCCCTCATTCCAGTCCTCATTCCCTGACCCAAGTGGGCATGAGTCTACAGTATCAAAGGGGTTGAGTTTCAGCTTTTCCAACCACCTGATCCCTCTCCAAGCTTTACTCAGTCTCCCACAACTCTGTAAGCCTCAGTATAATCTAGGCAATGGGTAGTTTCTTAGTTTATCTTCCCACCCCCACTCCCCAACTCTCCCTTACAATGAGACCCAGCTCTCTCATCCTCAAACCTAAAGTGCTGGGCAAGGGGAAATGGGGATGTTCAGTCCTATGGGAGGAGGGGAAAAACACTCTGTAAACCTTAAAGCACTACATAAATGCGAGTAACTATTATTATTATTATGAGAGATCTCTTAACTGTGAAGTTTAAGTTGCTGGTTTGGGTGATGGGGACAGGGGGCCAGTTATAAAGATACCTCCTCTGGTCTGAGATCCACTATTTAACTGCTGCCTGCCCCCGGCGGACAGTCAGACCACACTCTCTTGTCTGTCTGTCTGTCTGTCTCTTCTCTCGCCTCCTCTTCCCCTCCCCCTCCCCCCAGAAACCCTCCAGAGGGGGCAGTAAACGAGCGCACACAATGGGCTCCAACACACCACACATCCCGCTCCTCGGATATCCACCCGGGCACCCTCGACGCGGGCACGCCGGGCTGGTACCCAACGCCGGAGCCAGCCCGGGCACAGCGGACACTCCCCCCCA